AATTTATAAACTCATAGTGCAAGTCATAAATTAATTTTCAAAAATCTTTCACACAAAAAAGAATTATAAATTTTTAATATTTAAATTATCGAAAAAAAAATTCGAAAAAATTATGCCATGTTGTGTTGATAGTATCGTAAAAAATTAAATGTGTTCGCCAAAATACAAATGTAAATAGTAAATTAATTTCAGTCTGGGCTATAGGAACTTACCCAATTGGACAAGAAAAAAATGAAATAGAACTGAAATTATTCTTGCCTATTAACCCTAATGAGAGAGATCCAGAAATACAAGCTATTTTCGAAAAGGATGAGTATTTTTCGGTATTTGGAAAAATTGTACCAGCACAATTTAATAATATCACAAGACCCAAATTATTATTTAAATTTACTTTTTATTTTTTAATAAAATTTCGTAATAATAATAACTATAAATTATTTTATTTAGATGATTGTTACTACATCAACGCATATAACAATTAATTCTGTGGAATCCGAATCTAACAAATGCCCCTTGAAAACTATACTAATTGGTATTGCCCAAGTCAATGCTAGTAAAAAATAATGAACATGCAGTTATTCAAACTCAAGTAACAGATTATATTTGGGGTAAAGACTGTAATTTTTTAGTTAAAGTTACTTATCCTTATTCAAATTCAAGGTTTAAATTTCTAAAAAATACGATTCGACTAAATGATTCAAGTAATCTTTGTTATTGATCAGATGGAAATAATTAAAAATGATATATATGTTTATGCAAACGACATAAGCTACATCGATATTCCTTTAACAAAGAAAAAAATCTTTGATGATAAGAGCCTTAAAGAAATATCATCACCAACAAAGTCAATTCGATCAAAAGTTCTATATGTGCATCAAATTATCACTGGAGAATTAGAAAAAACATCTGAAAATAAATCTTTACAATCGTTAAATTTTAATGGTCTTATTGACGAGCAATATACAGGAAATTCTCAGTTATTGAAGTGTGTAAAAACTGAAGAACCATATGAGGTTACCAAAGAATTATCAAATAATAAAGACTCTGAACTTACAGATATTAATGATGAATTTGTTGAAATCGATCGAGAGCTAGAAATCGACACAAAATAAATATAAATATTACCAATACCAGTACTTCTATACTACAGTATATAATACCAGGAGTCAAGTAAATATGTAATGATAAAAAGTACAAAAATTTTAATCAAACTAAATTATTGATTACGTACCATATTAAAAAGTAGGATTAATCTAGATCCAGCATGGGTGCAGTTCTCTTATTTATCGCGCTTTGTTTTAATTGGCTAATTTTGCACCATGCGATACATTTATTTGTCGCCTACCAATCAAATTTCAAGATCAGGTGTAACGTAAAAAATAGCGAAAAAAAACTTTTTTTTTAAAAAAAAAAAAAATCTCCAATAACTCAAAATCTTACATAAAAAACAGATTTTCGTGTTCTAACTAGCAAAATTTTGATATAAACTATGCCGCCCTAACCCTAAATCGAACCTGCCCTAACCCTAACTAAATCGAAGCAAAGCGTTTTGTTTTTACACCTGAATTATGGTCTACTATAGGTGTGCGAGATATAGGTATGTAGCATGGTGTGATGCATTTATTCTAAAAAGTATTTTATAGGCATCTACAATTAGAATTGATTTTCGAAAATACCCAATTGTAAAACAATGAAAAACTTACAGATTGAAGTGTGTACATGCATTTGCGTGACTATTATCACTATTAGAATGAAAGGACTGAAATAACTTTAATTAACAAAATAAAACTAGAAATGCCTGGGTATTATAACATGAATGGAAATCTTCACAAAGTGTATTGTTATGCGCCAATTCTGTTCACAAAAACTTACAATTTGATTGGATCGTGAGTGGGGTGAATGAATGAATGTTCACATTCACTATTCTATTGTGTAAGTTGATCATTTCTACATATAGAAACTTTCGTACTTGACCTGAAAATTAATTTATTTCAAAAATAAGTAAGAGTTTAAAAATTTTTTTTTCAAAATCAGAAAATATAACAATTATAAATTAGTTATGCATAGGGAAGGCAAATGATTTAAAACACAATGTTTTAAATAATATTATATTGCTTTAAAATGATTTTTTTTATGATTTAAATCATCGTCATTGATAACCGGGTAAATTTTATTTCAG